CAGCTGTTTGTCGGCTCAGCGCGGCAGCCATTTAAATTTAAATGAAGCCGTGATTATTTAAATTGCGGCTTCATTTCCCTTTGCCGATCAGCCTAATCTACATGCTCCATCGATGGAGCCATGTCATTTAGATACACCCTAGGAGGTGTTTCCTTTTCTACTTATTTGTATTTCCTCCCCTTACTAATGGTAAAGTGTCTTTTCCTTATAGTTAGTATGTCCGGCAGCCATTTAAATTTAAATGAAGCCGTGATTATTTAAATTGCGGCTTCATTTCCCTTTGCCGATCAGCCTAATCTACATGCTCCATCGATGGAGCCATGTCATTTAGATACACCCTAGGAGGTGTTTCCTTTTCTACTTATTTGTATTTCCTCCCCTTACTAATGGTAAAGTGTCTTTTCCTTATAGTTAGTATGTCGATCTTAACTAACTTTATCATAAATGGCAATGCACTACCAAGGTCCCCCTTTTGTGGTTATCACATTTGTTATTTCTGTCCTATCCAGGTATTTGGTCTGGCCTCAACCGGTTCTTTCAGGTTTTTCCAAGTTATGGTGTGCCTGTTAAGTTTGAGGGTATTCTGGGAAGCCCCCAATGCCGGAAAGGTTGCTTTATCTTAGATGAAAGGTCCCAAATATATGCACATTGACTTTGCTATCTAGGTGAAAGGTCCTGAATATGTAAGCCAACTTTGCCTTAACTCAGCATATTGGGGTATGTCTACATTGCATTCCTCCTTCGAGAAAGGAATGCAAATGAAGACAAACGAACTTGCAAATGAAGCGCGGATTTGAATTTCCCACACTTCATTTGCATAATCCTGTCCGGCCGCTTATTCAAAATACCCTATTTCAAGATAAAAAAACACTGTGTAGATGCGGTTATTTCGAGAAAATACCCTTCTTTCAAAATAACCCTTAAAGCTCAGGAGGTTCAAATCCGTGCTTCGTTTGCAATTTCATTTGTCTGCATTTGCATTCCTCTCTCGAAGGAGGAATGCAATTTAGACATACCCTAGGATGTGGACTGTAGGACACTGGCATTAAAATCAAACTACTTCAATATAAACCTATTGTAACCTATTATAATAATGTCATCAAACCAAAAAAAACCCGAAGTAAATATCTCTCTAGCCAAGCAAGCAGATTGGCCCTATAGGCTACACCTCTTCCAAGAAATGAATTCTTGAATACCTTTTCTTTTTCTGCAGGTGTCTGACATTGTGGATGGCATCTATTTCCAGATAAACAATGTCCCAGAGGGCAGTGCTAGGCGGGCAGCTCTCAGGGTGGTGTGTTCATTGGCTGAGGAGTACCCAGAGGAAGTGGTCTCAAGCCTTCTGAGACGCTCCTTGCCATGCGACAGGTAATTGCATTGATGCGTAACCCTTTTCTTGCGTCTTTCACGTGAGGCTCTCAAAGCACTCTGCCACTGTGATGACTTCTGCCACCAGCCTCTCTGTGCAGTAAGTCAGTACAGTCCCCCTCTTACAGACTGGGAAATGGGATAAAGGTAAAGTGACTTGCCCATGGCCATGCACTAGGAAGAGGACCTAGGAACCCTGAGTCTCATTCCCAAGTGGTGTTGGTCATGACTGACCACCTTTTGTGCAGCTGCCAGAAAGAAGGAGGAAAGGAAGCTCCTTTCATTTCACAGTTGAATACTTGGTCCACAAGACACAAGCCGGGCCTCTAAGGGCACATGTGGGTCTTTGGGGCACTACATGTGGCTCTTATGAACTTACTAGATCCGATCAAAGCTCTGTCTTAGTTTGATGATGCAAAACCTCCACTGGGTTCTGATTTTACAGAACCATACTCAGCTTGGTTCTGATCCTATCGCTCCCAGTTCTGTTTTGTCCTATCTCCAGATATCCTGCATTTCTTCCTGTTTCCTGATTGGACACGTTCCAGGCAGATTCCCCTGTGTGCTGTGGGCCTCCCCGGGACCATTTTTAGGGGCCTGGCTAAGGATGTTAAATTGCGGTTAATTGACTGGTTGAGTAGTCGATGGAATTTCCATCAACTACTCGACTAGTCGATAGGCACTTCCGCATTCCTCCTTTGAACTGTCCAAGAACCACTGCTGGGCCTCCTGTACATTTCAAAGGAGGAATCTGGAACTCTGAGTGCCTCCTGGCACCAGCAGGAAGTCTCTCTGACTCTGGGCTGGACGTGGGCATGCCTGTTTAGAAATGTACAAGAGTCCCCAGCGGGGGCTCCTGTGAATTTCAAAGCCACAGCTCCTTCATGGACCCCAAGCTCCATGCTGTGCTGCATGCTGCACGGAGCCTGGGGTCAGCTGGGGACTCCCCAGCTGATCCAGGGCTCCTCTGATCCCGGGCTCCATGGCACTGCCCCTTTGAAACACTGAGGCGGCGTTTCAAGGGGCAGCCGCTGCATAGCTGAGTCGGGGATCAGCTGTGTAGTGGCTGCCCCTTTCATAGAATCATAGAATACTAGGACTGGAAGGGACCTCGAGAGGTCATCAAGTCCAGTCCCCTGCCCTCATGGCAGGACCAAGTACTGTCTAGACCATCCCCGATAGACATTTATCTAACCTACTCTTAAATATCTCCAGAGATGGAGATTCCATAACCTCCCTGGGCAATTTATTCCAGTGTCTGACTACCCTGACAGTTAGGAACTTTTTCCTAAGGTCCAACCTAAACCTCCCTTGCTGCAGCCCATTGCTTCTTGTTCTATCCTCAGAGGCCAAGATGAACAAGTTTTCTCCCTCCTCCTTATGACACCCTTTTAGATATCTGAAAACATGCCCCCCCTCAATCTTCTCTTTTCTAAATTAAACAAACCCAGTTCCTTCAGTCTTCCCTCATAGGTCATGTTCTCTAGACCTTTAGTCATTCTCGTTGCTCTTCTCTGGACCCTCTCCAAATTCTCCACATCTTTCTTGAAATGCGGTGCCCAGAACTGGACACAATACTCCAACTGAGGCCTAACCAATGCAGAATAGAACGGAAGAATGACTTCTCGTGTCTTGCTCACAACACACCTGTTAAGGCATCCCAGAATCATGTTTGCTTTGTACTGCATTAAATGACTTTCTCCTTGGACGTCCCTGGTCTCTGTTTCCTGCCACCTTTCCATTGAGAACTATTGTAGACAATCAGTGTGGGGTCATTCTAGTAATATGGCAAAGCCCATTGTGGTTGAAAAAAATAAAAAAACAACAATGAATAGTCCTGCAGCACTTTAGAGAATAACGAAACATATAGATGGTATCATGATATTTTGTGGATACAGCCCACTTCTTCAGATGAATGGAGTTTATGGGGTCCAGATTCCAAATAAATAGCAGAGAAAGGCAGGAGTTGGGGTGAGAGGGAAGGAAAGGAGGGGGAAAAAAGGGAAAACCATTGTGGTTGGCACTTGACGTGTGTCGCTCACTGCACTTTTGATCTTCTAAAGACGTTTGCCATGTCTTAGTCTATCTTGCTTTGTCTTCCAAGCTACATTTTTTGTTAGTCTCTGAAGTGCTGCAGGACTATTCATTGTTTTTTTTTAAGATTTTTTTTTCTATTTTAGACTAACAAGGCTCTTAAATGATTGCACAGAGTTTTTCTCTCTATTTGACTCCAGTTTTCACTGAAAACCACTCTGTCAACTTGCCACTGATTTGCACTTCATGCCAAGCTACAGCATAGAGACTCTGCAGTATTTTAATCAACTTGGTGAAAAAAATCATACCACTGGAGAACCATCCACAGAGCCATTCTCTTAACCATTGAATGCTCTCTTAAAGTCCATCAGTATGGAAAACATATGGAACACTCTGTGTGTCTCCGTGATTTGACAAACCTCTCATTTGTGGTGGTACATCCAGGTCTATGGCCAGCTTGTGACTCAACCAGATTAAATCTGTCTTTTCCATTTGCCTGAGAGTCACTGTACTGTGATTCCTCTGTAGTTCTCACAATCTGTCAGGTCAGTTTTGCTTAAAGAGTAGTACAATGACAGAGCATCTGCCACCTTCCAGTACTTCCTCATTCATCCAAATGAGGTTAAATAGTTTGCAAAGGAGCATTACTGTGTCTCTTCCACCATGTTTTAACACTTCAGGCAGTATATTGCCTGGACCAGGTGCCTTCTTTTTTCAGGTACCCGACTAGAAGCAGAAACAGAAGCCACAATGTTTTGTTGCCTTCACAGCAACAGCTGAGTGGGATGCAAGAATGTAGACATGGAACTTTCTGAGATTTGACTTCTCCTTGTGTAGCTGTGTTTTCAGAAATATTGCATATTAGGTTGATGAAGGGAGAATTTTGCTGATGGCAATCTATACAAAAAAGTGGTATTTTTAATGACATTTTAGCCTGTCATTAATAATGCTTCTGGTGTCCATCCTGCAAAATGCTGGAGGTCCAATAGGTGCTGAGGGTCCTCCAATGACTTCAACTAAGGCTCCAATCCTGCAAAAACCCAAGCATGTTCCTAACTTAAAGCATTTGAATGGCCCTATTGAAATAGATGGGATTATTTATGTACTTGAAGTTAAAAACATGCATAATTCTGGCTATGTCTACACCGCGGGGGGGGG